CAAGGGCCTGTGAGTGTGAGGCTGCTCCTATGTGCCTAAAGAGAGCTTCATCCACAGAGTCCTCTTGATCAGGCAGTCTGTAGCAGATCCCCACCATAATGTCCCCCATAGCTGTTCTCCCTCTGATCCTGTCCCACAACCTCTCTGTTCTGTGGAAAAACTCTCACTTCACACTATAAGCAAGTTTGCTTTTCAGTGAAAAGATTTGTTTATGTATAGTAATAATGATGCAAATGCTAAATGGGTTATACGTTATGCATATGAATATTCTTCCATAAAATTCTATGTACCCTAGCTGTTTCAGATTAAAAAAAAAAAAAAATCACTATTTTGAGGGAATGTTTATTTAATGATTATTAATGGTATTGATTGAAAAGCTTAGCCAGCCTAGCAACTGTTTGTTACCTGCATGTATTGAATTGCAAATTACCATAATGCTTTTGTCAGGCTGGCATTTCAAAAGCCACTTTCCAGCACGTTAAAAGGCTTAGGAGTTTACTGTAGTGCTCCTTGTAATTCTTCTGTATGTGATGGAACCAAGGCCTGGCACGAACCAACATTGAAAAGAAGTAGTCATGACATGGCACAATGCCAAAAGTGGCGCCACTTTGTCAACAAAGATATAAATATATATATTGTCTGCTTAAAGCTGAAAAGTTTAAAAGGTGCTTTATTAATATCAGAAATTTCTTATATATGAAGCTTTGTGATATCTGACTGTAGTAGTATCCTGGAAAATCATCAAGACCTTATGCAAAACTACGGATTTCAATTATCTTTTTTTTTTTTTTTAATTTATAGCACTGCAGAAGTTTAAATTATCTAAGTAGTGATGTTCAAGACGTTGATCTTGGACCTGTAGAACAGTGAAGAGTACTTTCAAACAACACTTTGAGATGAAATGTTGGCAATACAGCAGTCAATAGTAATTAATTTCAATTGAACAGTATGAAGTACTTATCTTTTTCTTGTTGCCTTTCCAAAGGATATTCATGAGAATTTGACTGGGGATGCACAAAACTTTAAAAATTCATAACTGCGTATTTTGAAATAAAATTATTTTGTTTTCCCACAGAGTTTAAGTTATTTTTATTTTACAGAACATATTTAGGAAACATTATTGAATGAAGTATTGACCACGCTAGTTTCAAGCTGCATTTGTGGACCTTCATTTTTTAAAGAAAAAAAAAAAAGGCATTCATTTGCCAGAAACAGGAAATGCTTTTATTTAATCATATAGCCACTGTCTTTTCAGAGCCTATGTCAATGAGGACTGCTTAGAAAATACATGTAGATTCATCTTACTAATTTATGTTATCTTGCTGTAAGATAACCTGTAGAACATCAATTCTAGTCAGTTGGGCTTTGCTTCTAGATAGTGGCTTCCTACAATTGATCTAATCAGATAGTTGAACATATAGTGACGGATTATTATAAATCCAAGACAAACCACACAAAAATTGTTTGAAAATTTACATAGTAAGTAACATGACATCCTACAAATATGTGTATAAAATTAAGAGAAAAATAGACTTTTTTATCTGGTTTTTTCATTCATTTTGCCATCCTCAAAATCAGGTCCAAAAGAAGTACAGTGTAGAAAATGAACCTAAATGTCTTCTGAGATTTCAACTTCAAAATGTGGTCAGTGTTATGCCAGGGTAGCCTTCCAAGTCCCAAAAGAACCGAAAGAGCAATGTAACTGAACTTCATAAGGTGTTTCACTGATAAGGTTGAGTATACTTATGTTTTCTTTAATATGCTTTATTTTTAAAGAATAATTTATTAAAACAGGTACAGATCTGAAATTGGATTTTGGAAACTCTGGTCAGGGAATGTGTTTCAATTTCAAAATCATCTTCTAGATAAACTTTAAAATTAAGATCAGTATGCCTGCAGAATCTTAATTCATGTTTCATAGCCAATTGTGGTACAGCTTTGCTCAGCCAGTGTATCTACTACCATACAAAAATCCTATCACACTAACACACACTATATATGTGGTGCTGTGCTCTAGTACATCCTTGCCAGATGAAGGAATAGCTTGTTCTTAAACCTATGTGACTTCTGGGACTACATAATGAGTAAGGTAAGCTGTCTGAGTAAGGGAAGAATTTTAATGGGTGTCTTTTGCCAAAAGCTTGTGAAGATGAAAGTGGGAAATAAGCAGAAAGAGAAGACAGAAGACAGGTCAGAAGACAGACAGATTTCCAGAGCCCCTGAAGAAGTGTCAGGGCAGCAAAAGAGAAGCGGGTTTTTTCAGAATGGGAAGTTCTGGTTGAATGCAGGGCTAGACCTGGCCAATGTATATCATCCTGGAGCAAAGAAAAATAGTCCTACGATCTGAAACAGCCAAAAAAATGTGTCAGATGGGTAAGGGAGCAAAGTAAATCCACCCACCAACCACAAACTGAGACGAGGGAATGCATGTTTCCTTAGATTATTTATTTCCTTTTGCTACCCGACTATGATGTGAGTTCCTCTTTGGAATCACACAAAAAGTTTCAGCATACCGCATACTACATTTCAAGTACAATACTCTGTAGGGGAAGAGTAGAAGATTCATCAGTAGGTAACTAGCACATTTTCATACCTTCTAGTTGACAGAGGCATTGACTGAATCTTGTTTTCACTCCACTGATGACCAAACAGTTTCAATCATAAATTCCTACACACAGATCAAAATATTGTGACAAGACAAAGAACATCAGAAATCACTGTTAATGTAGAGGCAGAGTATCAAACAAGGGTTGTCTTTAATAATAAAGGATGACGGCAGCAATAGTAACAAAAACAAAGAACAAATCTAAACCCTACCTCCTGCCATTCCAAAAAATTTATTTTAATTTACACCAGCTGCCATTTCTAATTTTAGGATAGGTTTTCCCTTCCTTTAAACCATTACTTGCCAGACTCTGAGTTCACATCTTCACTCATTCTTTCTGGCTTTAACCTACTCTCTCTGTTCTCTTCACACTTATCTTGCTCATCCTTGACAACATCAGTTTTCCCAATAATGTCCAGTTTAAGTTCTTAATTTTCTGTCATCTTTGCCCTTTTTTGCTTCATTTTTCATTCAACTCTGAATTAACCCACTAACTATCAAAAGAGACATAATGCCCAGTGGCCTGACACTCCTGGCTGTCTATGAATTATTCCCTCTTCAAGCCAGCATTTTATTTATTTTAGTATCTTTATTCACTGTAAGACTTGCAAACGTCACTCAGCAGTGGAATTCCTGATGTATAGATTATTTTATAATCCCTCCTCTCTTTTTATTTATGCCAATTAGGATATTGATTCCTGACTCCAGGTTCTACAGCCCCAGTTCTTTGCCTCTTTTTGCAATGTTCATCATTCTAGCCTAGGATTTAAATCAAAGTCAGATTCTTCTGGTTTAGCAACCCTTCAGCTACTGAACAGGCTGGGAGAAATCTCATAACCATGCTGAACAAGAAATTCCCCTCCTGTCTCAGTTCTTTTGTCCCCCTGCACTGTCCACATTATTCTTACACTTCTGCATATTATGCAATCCTATTACAGTTGCTCTTCTCCATTTCACCTTCTCTTTTATTCTTTTCATCATCAGGTCTGTTTAATTAAAAAAAAAATAAAATCCAAAACTGCTTTTTAAAAGCCTATTAACGTTACCTCATGATTATCAGTTTTTGCAGTGTCCTGAATATACACAGAAAATAAAATGCAATCGCCACGTACTATACAAAGGAGGGAAAAAAAAGTTCCATGCTTAAAAACATTTTAAAATATATTTAATAATTTCAAGGTTCTTCGCCATTCACTGTATGCATTTACACAGCATTACTACAGAAGAGTACACTTCTAAATAAAATACCCCAAGCATTTATTCCTTTCACTATCCATTTCTTCAGTTTCTAACTCATAATGTTTCATAGCAACAAAGTATCGGATAAAAGTTTCACCTAATGCTTCCTTAATGCAAGAATCTTTCTTGAGTGCAACAAGAGCATCTTCTAGTTTCAAAGGGACTGATGAATGTTTCAGATCAGCAGTGTGATTTTCTTCTTGGAACATATCATCATACCTAAGTTCTCTCTTTATTCCATCTAGACCAGCAGCAATAGTAGCAGCAAGCACCAGGTAAGGGTTTGCTGCAGCAGAACTTAATTTATTCTCTATTTGAGTGCCTTTTCCACCATGACATTTGACATTAAAGGCACAGCTGTTATCATTATATGCCCATTTTGCATTTACAGTCTCTTTGGATTCTTTACTGTATTTGGAATAAGGCTTACGGCAGCTGGTGGTGGGAGCCATCAAGCAGCTGATAGCTGCTGTGTGTGCCAAGAGACCTGATAACCAGTTTTTTCCTATATCTGAGAGCTCCTCAACTCCATAACCAGCAGAAAACAAATTCTTCTGGCCATTCAAATCCCACAGGCTATGTGACAGAGCCCCTGAGTTGTAGAATCCTGATTCTGAGAAAAAGCTAGCCACATAGTTATACTTCTTAGCCACCTCTTTAATGCCTGTTCTAAATGTGAAAGCACTGTCAGCAGCATCTATGCCAAACGCTGAATGAAAAGTGATCTCCATTTGCCCAGGGCCAGTGGAAGAAGAAAAGCTTTCAATGTTGGCACCAGCATAATACATTCCTTCAATGAGCTCCTGAATGAAAGTCTGGTCATGGTTATTTAGTATTGTGGCTGCAGGAAAGGATATTGTCTTTGAATTTACAACCTCAGTAATACCATAAATACAAAATTCATAAGTGAAGGCAGAGCGCAGAGAAAAACCATTGTCCTGAAGCTGGCTCAGCTGTTTCTTGGCAATGTGCCTTGGTGAGGTCATTAGCGGGTTACCTAGCACGCTGAAGGAATCACATATCACTCTTGCAGTCTGCTCAGTCCAGGGTAGTATTCGAAATGTTGATAAATCCGGGTTCAGGATTATGTCACAATTAAAATTGGTTGCATTTATGTAATCTAATTCATTATCTTTAGGATTCAGCGTCAGCTCAAGGTAGCTTCTAGGCATGGCAACACCATGAATTGCTTTCTCCTAAACACAGAGCAGAATGACAGATTACAAATGAGAAAAGAAATCAAGAGCATTTTTACACATGTAAAATATATAAAACTCAGATTCTCAGTAAGAACAATTGTATTTTTCCTAAAAGAACGCTGAAATGTAATGATCACTGAAGTGGAGAGCAACAGCCAGTTACTTCGACATCATGAAGCAAAACAACTTTCTATAAGGTTAGTATGAATACTCTGGCACCAAATATCCCAATGAACATTTTCTAAATTTCTGTAAAGAACTAAAACACTTGCATGGTATTTATACAACTATGGGCATCACCAGTTAGGTGCAAACTTTGCAAGTCGAACTTCTATATATAGTTGCTCTATTAGGCTTCCATATCCTCTGAGCATTTCCTTTACATAGACCCAAGTGCCCACACAAGACATACAAATGCAGGCTGCAATTTCTCTTTAAATGCCATAACACATACCTCACTGTTTTTTAGATTCAAAGTTTAACTGAAAATTATCACTTCCTGGGCTTAATAAGTTTGGGGATAAAATGCAGGGAAGCATCTCCAAGTGAAAAATCATTCCAGTGTTTCAGTACTCCGCTTCTAGGTAGCAGACAGGATAAACTCATAATTGTACTTTCTTCTCCATTGGAACAGGGAACTTCAGCTTACAGAAACAAAATGTAGATACAACACCAAGGAAGGATCATCTGCCTTCAAATAAGCACATTTACAACTTACTTACCTAAAACTTCAGCAGATGAAAACTGCAATTATGCAAAGTTCTGTCAAGAGAAATTTGGCTCATGTTTACATCTTCCCTTTATTCTTCTAAGGGAAAGGATTATCATCTGAGTGAGCAGAGGAGACAGAACAAACCTAGAGAGAGGCAAGCTCAGGTCTGAAAGAAACCCAAAGCTTTGCCTATCTAGATGGAAAACTGTTTAAATACTTCAAAACGCATACAGTGGCTTCTCTTAAAATTAATGAATAAATAAAGTCCACTTTCTCTTAAGGAGGTGACAGTCCAGTGGTAGCAATTCTCTCTAGGTGACACCCATAACCGAAACAGCACAGCGCGGTGAATACTGCTCAAAGATATCTAAGCTGTCCATTTGATAGTAAAAAGGTGTTGAAGGTGGTTACCCTGTAGTACTACCTCTCCCTCTTCTAACCCCACTACGTGAAAAAACAAGGAAAAAAAAAAGGAAATTACTATCAGTTGCTCTATAAGTGTGCATGTGTGTACACATACACATTGTTTTATGTCAAAAGATTTACTGTTATGCATATCTTCAGTGTGTTCAGATGGTAAGATAAACACAAAAGCTGTCTTTGAACAAGCTGACTAGACATTTGCAATTTGATATAGCAACTCTCTGAAAGACAAGTTACAATTAACCTACCACCCTCACAAGAACTAAAATGACTGAAAGATATTATTCTTATAAAATCCATGTGACATCAGAGAGAAGAAATTGTATCTAGATGATAAAGTTGCAGTTCAGCAATATCAAAAAGGGAAGTAATGAAAATACGGCTTAGGCTTCAGAAGGAATTTCGGACAAAACTGCTCTACATCTTTTCATGTTCATATCTTTTTTATTTGTGATACCTCAGTAAAGCTTAAAATATTCATAGTGAAATGTGAGTAAAAGTATAATGGAGTTATGGACATGAAATGTCACAGAAGCAATATACTGAAAGGTCTGATCAGTCAAGGATACATGTTGTAATGATTTCTTTCTAATTTGGTTCTTATTTTCTGTATCATTAATATGGCAAATATTGTTATTAAGTCATCACGCAACCCAATAGTATCTTCAGGTGATTGATGACTATAAAATTTCTCATTGCTAAAGTCATTTTCATTCAGTCATTTTATTTCATTCAGTATTTACTCCGTTCTTTTTGCAATTTAATGATGTGCAATAAAACAAAAATCTTTAAAATGCACTGAACCTGAAAAGATAATTCTGAAGGAAGAGATTATTGGAAGTTCAAGGAACTGAAATTATTAGCCTTATTTAATTAGATTACTATTTGGGACAGTGGAATAGATTGCAATAATGAAAAAAGTCCAGATCCTTTGGGAGCAAGTAAGTGGAGTGAACAGATGATTTGTTCTAAGTTTGAGCTTCTGCCTGCACTATGGAAAAGAAAAAAACCCAAAAAAAAAACCTAACAAAACAAAACAAAACAAAACAAACAAAAACCACAGAAATTAAAGACAGGGACATGAAAACACATGAAGTTACAGCCAGAAACCAGAAAAACTTACATGAAAAAAGCGAGAAGGAATATTCTTTGATCTTGACACACCATGGAGGTCTATTGATTCAAATCTAACAAACTGTATGTTGTCCCTGGCCATCTGCTGCTTAATAAATTCAATATGAGAGAACAGCTGAAGGAGAGTTGGACTTCTGAGGCCGTTTACATCAGGCTCTCTGCTGGATGCTATAAGTGAAGAGGAATGGTCATGTCAAGGAAAATAATGAATGCTGGAATTCAGGCTGTTTAATAGTGCAATAGTGGGAAGCTGTGCCATGGAGTGTAAAAGCAAAAATAAGAAAAACATATGAATCATGAAACATTTTTGTAAATAAACCCACTTTCCACCCCCTCACCCCCCACCCCCTGAGAATGTGTATAAAATCCCTTATTTTTTTGAATGGTCTATAACTTAAACTTTTCTTCGAGTTGATAAGAGAACACAGGGGAATCATATGGTAAAGCCAGGAACTATTGAGGAATACCTCAGCTATTATGTTGGGTGTTTTTAGGAGCACAAATAGCAGCTGGATACCTATTTCCCACTGAAAACTTAGAGAATTCAGGTGCTATATTATTTCAATGCTTTTGAAAAAAAGCACAGATACAGAAACATGATAAAAAGGGCACTTGTCTTCTACTAAACCTTTCTCAAGACCTCCTGAGGAGGTCTGCCATTTTCTCCACCACAGGCAGCAGACTTTTAAGAAAAGTTTATGCATTTATGTATTTGCTGTTACAGAGTTATCTTCTTAACTATATTATAGCAGCTGTAGGACCATATAAGCTTCTTGACATGAAAGCAGTAACATCTGAGTCTAAGTTCTGCAATGGATCAGAGAGCTGGGCGTAGTCACATCTTTTCACAAACCTCTCGATCTCACAGCCTGCTTTTCTTTTGTGTATCTATGTGTTGTTATTATTTAAGTTGAATTATGTAAGGTATTCATTGCCATTTAGTCAATAAACTAACTAGACCCAGGGTAATATTTTATACTAAGATATGAAAAAATGTGAAAAAATCTTTCTTTCTACACTTCTGGGAGGAAACTCCGTTATTCCTGAGGCTACGATCAGATGAATTTTTGCAGATCTTTCAGATCCACAGTGGAAAATCACTAACAACAACAATTCACCACCACCCTTCAAGTGGAAGCTAGAAGCTTTGTGCTGAAGCATCATGAAGGTTGATGGGAAAACTGCTGATCTCTCCAGTACCAACTCCAGGGACAGAAGTCTGAGATTTTTGCCTTTTTACAAGCAGTGCTCAATCCCTTGTTCTACACGTTTGATTTCCTGTCTACCACCTGTCGCACAGATATTTTTATGCCTTCACATTATTCAAAGTTTTACCAGCAACCCTTCACATCAGATTATTGTCAGGTTTTGACATAAATTTTGCAAGTATTTCTTACAATGTCCTGAAATGTTGCCTTTTAAATTCGCATCTACTATTTGCATCTATCTAAAAAAACAAATATTTTTTCATTAGAAGTATCTAATTCACAATAAACAACAACTTTAACTCCTATCCAAGTAATTCTTTAAATCAGTATTCCTAAGAGTTATAAATTATATAAAACAATAGCTAAGAAAAACACAAATGTGATATGCATTTATATTGTGGATGAATTCATTTTAAAAGTAAAATATACAAATATACTTAAATATTTATATATACACATATCATACGTATAATATATCTTA